TGTAAACTAGACATATTAATCAGAAACCCACCTGAATCGAGAACATATGAATCAAATACTTAATCTTGTATCTCTTGATCGACGCTGACCTGGCCGAACGTCCCATTCGTCCCACAACAGACTACCCCCCATGCGGGTAATGATGGTCTCACTTTTTCAACCGACTTCAAAAAGGAGGAGGTTCTTAATTCGACTGTATGTTTTTTTTTATGTTTGTTACCTCAGAACTCCGTCATTTATTAACCGATTTGGACAATTTTTGTTTTGTTTGCTTTCAAAGTAATTAAAGCCTACCTATTAAATACATACCTAATCAAATATTTTCGAAATCGGTGCCAGCCCATACAAAGCAAAGCACACCGACTTCGAAAATATTTGATTAGGTATGTATAGTAAATGAAAACTACCAATCAGTTATTTTTTACTTTTTAGTGCTTTTGTTTGAAGTCAGTTTTTATTTTTTTGTTAAAAAGTTTTTATGTATTTCGCCGAGTACGATTGAGTGAAGTGCGCGCCATATTAATCAGAATTTTATGCCGGACATCTTTTATCTCTTTATTTATAATAAGTAAACTAACGTAGACATAACTATTTTTTTTTTGTTAAAAGATAACTAATCTTCTTTCGATGTGATTATAATTTATATTGTTTTTTCAATAAGATAACGCGTTATTTATAATTTTGTTCAGAAAAATGCGGAACGGACACGTCATATGAATAAGAAGAACGAGTTTCAAACGATTTTTTTATATGTTTAGAATGCAATTATTATACAAACGGGATTGGTCCAAGTTAGAAAATAGTCTAAGGTACATTAAACAAAATATTTCAGACCGTTTTATTAGCTAGTTACGGAGATAAACCTCCAGAAATCGAAAATTTAAGGCGCTGAGAAATACCCATAAACACCATTAGGTTTATACCCTACAAGCGTTCTAGAGGAATAATGTACAAATATTTCATATCTTGCGTATAAGTAAAAGTACATAGAATTATTTTTTTAAAAATCATCAAGAATCAAAAGTCAGCAATTATTAATGTGGAGTGTATCATATAAAGGGCAAATCATACGAGCGCCTAATAGCATTTTTTACATTAAAAAACTGCAATTGTCTGATTTATCTATATGGATATTGTAGTATTGTCCGAGTAAATGTGAAAATTAGATAGCCACAGGGGGCCATCCCCTGACAAAAGCAAGCGCTGGACTTTGCCGTAACTGAACTTTAGTTTTGTATCGAAAGAGGATAAAATATATTTATCATCAATAAAAAAGCCATACTTTTTAGCAAACGAGTAAATCAATTGATTCACCTATCAGCAAATAAATAAAGTGAATTATGTTAATCCTTAACCTATTCATTGTTAATTCTTTGAAATTCGGAAGCCGCCTTGAAGGACTTTTAACTACGTGTGGGCATCGCTTATAATTGGCTCTTTTATGTTGGCCACCGGAAAGAAGACCCACGTCAAGGCATCGCGCCTTAAAGGGATTTATAATGGCAATAAGAGATATTTACGTGCAACCATTATAGCCAGACTGTCTGTCGCCAGTTGTGAAAGATTTGTGGAACACGCCTATTTCCGAAAAACTATCGTAGTCTTAATTGAAATTATTATTACAAATCGCTTAAAACATTTTAAAATAGTATTTACGTACTATCATTTTTTATACTTTTTATTATTATTAAGTACTAGCATTGCCCGCGGTTCCGCCCGCGTTCAGATGACCAAAAATTAAATTATTAGATTTTACAAATGAGTATACTCTTTCATTCCAGTTTTTGCATTTTTTCTCAGAAATGAGATATATTCCAGCGGTTAAAAGTATCCTATATGTTGACCCGGATACCAGCTACCATCATACCAAATTTCATCAAAATCCCTCCAGTGGTTTTTCTGTGATGTGGTAACAGACAGACAGACAAAAATTCTAAAAACTATAGATTCGACCTCTGTATCGATAATAATGTTTATTTCAATAAGATTTTCCAAAAAATATTTAATCTACAGATTCGGCTTAGTTACAATTTTATTATATGCAAAGACTATGTGGATCACCCTCGCTTCGCTCAGGTTCGCCTCTAGACAAACAAAAACAAATCTATACCACGGAAACCGTACATTTTCCGGGATAAAAAGTAATCTATTCGATATTCTGATATATGAACTATATTATTGTAAAGTTTTATTAAAATTCAATCAGTAGTTACTAACCTGTATAAGTTACTATAGTTTTTTAACTATCCCACGGGAACTCTTTAATTTTTCGGGATGAAAAGTATCTAAAATGTTGACCGGGGGGGGATATAAGGTACCACCATGCAAAATTTCATTTAAACCGGTCTAACAGTTTCGGAGATTAGCCCGTACAAACAGACAAACAGACAGAGAAACAAAAAGTTTGAAAAAAAACTGGATTTGTTCTATTTTTCTTCTTACATCCCCCTGACTCGGTTGTTAGCATTTTTTTTCTATGTACAGACATTTGACCTCTACAGTTTTATTATAGGAAATACACAGATAGGTAGCTTTTTATATTTTAATTCCTGAAAATAACGTTAGATAAAACGTTCGATATGTCGGATAATAACATCTAAGTCAAAGTACCTAAGTCGATAGTAAGCAAACGAACCGAAAAAGATTTTTTAACCAAAGATCAGCTCAAGCGGAAATTCAAGTCAGATCCTGTGAAAATGTGCAGTGTTGGATCTTTCAAAAATGATCAGCTTAACAAAATAGGTATTTATCATACTTGGTCTATATAATCTATATAAATGAAAATGAATGTTGGTAAGCACATAACTCAAGAATGGCTGGACCAATTCGGCATTTTTTTTTGTATTGTTATAGTAATAATAAATTGAACCCTACTTTATCTGTGGTAAATAGTATTTTTAAAGTACAACACTGTTTTGTCTATGTCACTCTATATGATGTCACTTCTTCTGATTATCTCTCGCTAATAAAACTACGTACAACAAATCACATATATTTTTATTAATCACATCAGGTTATGGGCCCAGGCCACCTGAATATTGCTTAAAATAAAAAGTACAAGTGTTTTAAAATTATAAAAATAAAAGTACGTAGTTCTGGTAAAATTAGTAAGACATAACCTAAGACTCCGCACGTGTTCTCGTAAGTCGAATTTTTCTTCATTGGCAAAATGTCTTTAAATAATGCGATGGCACTGATAGAAAAGCTGACGGGAAGAGAAAATTATTCAACGTGGCGATTTGCTATGCAAACTTATCTCGAACACGAAGATTTATGGAGTTGTGTCGTTTCTAAAGAAAATGAAGCCATTGATACAAAGCTCGATACGAAAGCTAGATCTAAAATAATTCTACAAGTGCATCCTATAAATTATGTACATATACAAGAAGCTAAAACAGCTAAAGATGTGTGGAATAATCTAGCAAAAGCTTTTGATGATAATGGTTTGACACGTCGGGTTGGTCTCCTGAGAGATCTGATAACCACAAACCTTGAAAATTGTCTAAACATTGAAGACTACGTTAACAGAATAATGTCAACCGCCCATAAACTGAGAAACATTGGTTTCAATGTTGATGATGAATGGCTCGGGACCCTGTTACTGGCTGGTCTTCCTGAAATGTATCAACCCATGATAATGGCACTTGAGAGCTCTGGTGTGAAAATTACAGCTGATTCAGTAAAGACAAAGCTTCTACAAGATATAAGAAACTCTGAGTCTAATGCGCTATATGTGAAAAGCAAAGGAAATCAGTTGCAATCTGGCAAACAAGTTCAAAATAAAGTCAAGTCCAAGGGTCCGAGGTGTTATGTGTGCAATAAATATGGACACATCAGTAAAAATTGTCGCAACAAGAAAAAAGAACAAAAATCGAATGAGCAAACTGATTCTAGTTATGTCGCAGTGTTCTCCGCTACAACGAGCAACAACAGTAATTGGTATATAGATTCTGGCGCTTCAATGCATATGACAATGCAGCGTGAATTGCTTTATGATGAGGTGCCACCTCCGATTACTACAATAAGAGTGGCTGATAATAAGAGATTAGTTGTGAAAGCATGTGGGAAAGTAAATCTTAATGTTGTAAACAAACAAGGCAAGATTGACACAATCAAGGTACAAAATGTTCTATATGTTCCTGAGCTGGCTACTAATCTTCTCTCAGTGAGTCAGATAATAAATAGTGGTTGCCAAGTACAGTTTGGCAGTCAAGGCTGTTTAATCCTAAATAAAAATAATAAGCAAGTCGCAGCGGCTAAAGTTATAAACAATATGTACCAGTTAAATACACATAATATTCCAGCCTACTTATCTACATCTACAGAGAATGATTGTTACCTGTGGCATCAAAGGATGGCACATTTAAATTTTGAGGACTTAAACAAATTATTGGAGAGTGCTAGAATCAAAATAAACAAGACAGATAAAGTGACATGTATTTCATGTTTGGAAGGAAAGCAGACGAGAATCCCTTTTCCTTCTGAAGGTTCTAGAGCACAAGCGAAGCTAGGACTTGTTCACTCAGATGTCTGTGGAAAAATGGAAGTGCCAAGTCTTGGGGGAGCTCAGTACTTTGTTACATTTGTTGACGACTTTACAAGAAAGGTATTTGTTTATTTGATTAAAAACAAATCAGAAGTCTTCCAGAAATTTCAAGAATTTAAAGCCTTAGTTGAAAATCAACTTGATTCAAGAATAAAGATACTCCGCACTGATAACGGAAAAGAGTATCTAAGCAATGAGTTTCAAGCTTTTCTTAAGAAATCAGGGATCACACATCAAACGTCCACTCCGTACACACCACAACAAAATGGTCTAGCGGAGAGGATGAACCGGACTTTGCTTGAAAGAGCTAGATGCATGCTTATAAATTGGAAGAAGAAAGACGATTGACAAGTGTCAACTGACATTCAAAAAATACATTTTATAATTACATTTAATTTATCTATATAAATATATATCGTATATATATATATATCTTTTATATATCCTAGTACGCATGGAGGCATCAATGAATAACTCTCCATCAGTGACGGACTTGTATGAGATGGGTATGAGTACACCCCCCAGCTATGTATTCCAGCGGACAAAGAGAAGCATAGATGGAATTGATGACTCGATAATTAAACAGCTTGAGGAGTTTAAAGAAGAGATAAGAAAAATGTTGTGTCACTACTCAGAAAAACAAGAAAAAGAGATGCAATATATGACCACTACTTTAAAAGAAATCCAACAGTCTAATATTTCTATTGAGAACTCGATCGCATATCTTACGGCTCAAAATCAAGAACTTAAAGCAAAAGTATATCAACTAGAAAATCAGTCCAAAGAAGAGAAAAAGTACATCAAATTATTAGAAGATAAAATTGAAACGATTCAGATGAGTAACCAAAAGCGCAACTTTGTTATCAAGAACGTGCCTAAAAGAACCAATGAGACCAAAGAAGACCTAATTGAAATGACTCTGTGTCTCGCTAAGAACATTGACTGTCCGATCACCAAACATGACATAAAAGACATATATAGGGCTCATGGCAAACTTAATACACCGATAATTGTGGAAACTGGTTCGACACTAATCCAGAAAGAGGTAATAAAAATGGGTAAGGCATTTAATATAAAACATAAATCAAAATTACGTTGTATACATCTCGGCTTTAAAACACATGAGGATACACCCATTTTTCTCTCGGAGCACTTAACTCCAAAGGGTTCTCGTCTTCATTTCCTTGCTCGTGATTTAAGAAAATCTGGTGCTTACAAATTTTGCTGGACGGCCTATGGCAAAGTTCTATTAAAGAAGGATGAAAAATCGCCAACAATAATTATTAGAAGTGAGCAACAGATACAAGAGCTTAAAATGAATAAATGACTAGCTCATTTTATAAAATATTATAATTTAAATTATAAACAAGGCACAAGAAAGTTTTTTTGCGTCTTGTTATATTTATTATGCTCCTATTGTATACAAATATTTTTCTTTTCTTATCATAATAGAATAATAACTCCTTACATTTGTTACTACATAATATATAATACAAATAATTGTTACTTAAATATATATAGCGTACATATCAACAAACTTTATTACTTAACATACATTTTATCATACTCTTATATACATAAAAAATACACACCAAATACACACAATCACTATCAATACACACACTATGCACACAATTATATACATAATTATACACACTACTCATACTTATACACTTACCACTTACATGTCCACTACCCGATTACTAATTATACTCACACTTCTTGCTCACATACTCTTTTATTATGGTTTATAATACGTTTTGTACTACTTGGCCTCGTCTTAAGCTATGGAATAGTAACAATAATTAAAGACTCTCGAAATACTTCTGTACTGAACACATTATATAAATATAAATTAAATTTAACTTTAATATGTATACGACTTGATGGTACGTTTTCTCTATTAAAAACTAGATATAATGGGTGATTCGATACGGACTCAAAATGAAATTGATAATTTTAAAATAGCACGCACATTTGAATGTGACTGTTCAGAACTAACAAAATATATACATATAAAAAGTAATGACTTTACCGTTGTTTCTCAAAATATAAGAAGTATTTCATGTAATTTTGACAGTTTTATAGTATCTTTATCGAAATTTAAGTTCGAACCAGATGTTATTCTTCTGACGGAGTGTAGATTAAGTCCTGAAAAACCAATTCCACAACTTAAGAATTATTCCTCTTTCTATACAACTTGTCATTTGAACCAAAATGATGGTGTTGTCGTATATATAAAAAATAATTTAAAATGTAAAGTAAGAGAAATAAAATTGTCCCTAGCATCATGCATACAAATTGATATCCTAAATAACATAATTTTATGTATCTATCGATCCCCATCGAACATAAATGCTGACAGTTTTATATTCTCTCTTAATACTCACCTAGATAACCTAAAGTCACAAAAAAATATTATCATAGCAGGTGACATAAACATTAACTTAAAACCTGGGGAATCAACATCATCGTATGAGAACACTAACAGAAATAATTATCTCAACATGTTGTCACTCCACGGTATATTGCCTGGACATACTTTGGCGACCAGAGATACAAATTGCTTAGACCATTTTATGCTTAAGATTAATAAACAAAAAATATCGGCTTCAATTGCTATCTTACACACTAGTATCACCGATCACTACACAACTCTTTTATCATTATCCAAACTAAATAATATATATACTGCCAGTAAAATTAAATCAACTATAAATTTTGAAGAAGCTTATAAATACCTATTAGATAATAATCTTGCTAACCTTCTTTTCTGCGACAACCCGGAGTCTCTTGCTAACCTTTTAATACACAAACTAACTGAATCAATTAATAAAAATACAGTCCATCTTAAAATTCCAAATAGTAAACGCATAATAAAACCTTGGATTAGTCCAGGTATTCTTCGTTGTATAAATAACCGCAATAAATTACAAAAAAATACTTAAACAGGATCCTTATAATGAATTATTAAAAATAACATATATAAGATACAGAAACCATTGCAACAATCTAATAAAAAAATTAAAACGGAAGTATGAGACAGAATTAATTATTAATAATATTTCTAATAAGAAAAAACTTTGGGATAATCTAAAAACAATATCTTACTCTAACCAAAAAAATAATTATAGTGAAGAATTATTAAGTATAAGATCATCACCTCTAGAATCCGTTAACTACATTAATAATTATTTCGCGAACATCGGAAAAGATCTTACACAAAAAATACAGCCATGTCACTCTGCCTCCAATGACGACCATTATACATTGCCACCTTCACAACCTAATTCCTTCGTTCTGCTAGATGCAGATGAAGATGAAGTGAATCGTGTCTTAATGAGTCTTAAATCTGATAGTGCGTCTGGTTGGGATAATGTACCAACACGATTTCTTAAATATATAAGAAAGGATATCGTTCCTTTATTAACTCACCTTGCTAACCTCTGCTTTAGAAAAGGTATTTTTCCTAGTCCTCTAAAGCAGGCTATTATTACGCCTGTTCATAAAGGTGGGGACAGAGACGACATAACAAATTATAGACCTATTTCAGTATTACCCTCAATATCCAAAATAATAGAAAAACTTATTAATATTAGGCTTTTAACATACCTTAAAGATTATAATATCATCTCAAAATCACAATATGGATTTCGTCAGGGCATTTCCACCGAGCACGCATCAACTGCACTAACTAAAATTGTAACAGAACAATTAGACAACGGTAAACCGTGTCTAACTGTATTCCTTGATCTAAAAAAAGCGTTTGATACTGTCTCTGTCCAAATTCTTGTAAAAAAGCTTGAACATATTGGGGTACGTGGAATTCCACTACAGCTCTTAAATGACTACCTCTCAAATAGGAAGCAGAAAGTTAGGGTTACTCATTACACAAGTGAATATACAGACGTATCATATGGTGTTCCGCAAGGCAGTGTCCTGGGACCTACTCTGTTTGTCATCTATGTAAACCAGCTCTGTAATATACAACTAACAAATACTAAGGTATTCTCATATGCTGATGATACAGCTCTTGTCTTTACGGGTAATTCTTGGCACGAGGTACGGCTTAATGCCGAAATAGGGTTGGCTAAAGTAGCCAGGTGGTTGTCTAAGAACCTACTCACACTGAACATTTCTAAAACAAATTATATATGCTTTAGCATATGTAAACGTAAACAACCTAGAGAAGATTTCAATATAAAAATACATCTGTGTAATAATGATAAAAGCACTACCTGCAGTTGCTTAAATATAACGAGGGTTCCATGTGCTAAGTATTTGGGTGTTTTCATTGACCAGAGATTATCTTGGCATTCCCAAATCGATCATGTGGCAAACAGAGTCAGAAAATTGAGCTGGATGTTTCGGTCCCTAAGACACATAGTCCCTAAACAAGTTTTTAGCAGCTCATCTCGCCCCAGAAATCTCTTGAATGAAATATATTTTGCCTTAGTACAATCAGTGCTATCATATTGTATCCCGATTTGGGGCGGAGCTGCTAAAACGAAGTTTATTGAACTTGAGAGAGCACAACGTGCTCTAATAAAATGTATGTACTTTAAAAAACTTACATTTCCAACTGAGAATCTGTACCAAGTTAGCACACTGCTCTCAGTTAGAAAGCTGTATATTACTCAAACTATACTAAAAGTACATAAGGCTGTTTCCTATGATGCGTCTTTAACATTAAAAAGAAGGAAAGAAAATATAATTAAAATCCCACAAACAAGAACAACATTTGCGTCAATGCAATTCGATAAAAGATCTGCACAATTATATAATAAAATTAACAGTATCATTTATGTTTACCCCTACAATTACCATAAATGCAAAAAGACATTAATAGATTGGATAAAAACCCTTAGTTACAATGATACGGAAAAACTGTTAGAACATATTCATTAAATACTCACACACGCACACACACGCGCACACACACACACGCGCACACACACACACACACGCGCACACACACACACGGACACACACACATACACACACACACACAAACACACACACACGCGCACGCACATACACACACGCACACTCACACACAATACACAAACAAATATATGTACGCTAATTTTTATTTTTATTTTAATTTTTTATTTTTTTGTTTGTCTTAATTGATCTATTTAAGTTTGTAGTATCACCCATAATATTATAATCAGCTAAAAGATAAAATTACTTTTTTATGAAAGGGCGGGGTCTCCTAATACAGGCAAATTATTTGCTTAAAAGGGGATCTCAACCACAAAATTTGAAATTTTGATTAGATTTGAAATAAATAAATAAATAAATTTTAAATTAATCAATTAATTATATGTTAATTTTTATTTCAAATGTAAATGTATATTGTTATCTAATTTATAGTTGTTATTGTTGTTGTGTTATAATAAATAAATTATTATTATTATTATTATTATTATTATTATAAATGCTAAACTTCAGAAACAATTTTGGGCAGAAGCTGTGTCGACTGCTGCATATATCACTAATCGATGCCCAACAAAAGCTCTATCATTTTTAACACCAGAAGAGAAATGGAGTGGTAAAAAGCCAGACATTACTCATATGAAAATATTCGGTTGTGAAGCAATGGTGCATGTTCCAAAAGAGAAAGCAAAGAAGTTTGACTCAAAAGCAAATAAAATGTTATTCATTGGTTATAGTGAACAGACCAAAGGATACAGGTTTTTAGATCCTAAAACGAGAAAAGTTGTAATAAGCAGAGATGTGGTCTTCCTTGAAAGCTCAGTTAAAAGAGATTATTCTCTTGTACCACTTTCAGAGTCTGTCTCAGAATCATGTGAAAGTGATGACAACTCTAAGACCCAGAAAATCACTCTGAAACAGTCTAAGATGACTGAAGACGAATCAAGTGAAGATTTTTACTCTGATGATGGATCTCTGTATGAGCCCGATGTAACTATAGATTCATCTGAGCTAACAAATAATATCACAACAAGATCTAAAGCAAGATTATATAGAATGCAAGCTCATAAAGAAGCAGAAGCCAATGCTTACAAATGTACAGATGAAATTATAAGAGAAC